ATTAACAGATGATTTTAGGCACTTCACACGATGCAGGAATATTCTTGAGGTTTTAAAGGGTCTTAATTTCGAGTGGTATTATACGCACTTCAAATTCAAGCAGGGAACAGTTGATGGAAAAATGAGTCCAACTGTACGTCTTCAGTGACAAGAGCATTGCACCGGCATCGCAAAAGCGTAGGTTCGATTCCTGCCGGAGGATCTATAGTTCACTCATTTTTCCGTCATCTGTTCCTGGCTTGATTTGAAGTGTGTATAATACCTCTCAAAATTAAGACCCTTTAAAACCTCTTAAATATCAACTGAACTAATATGTACATTCATCACAGCTAAAAAAATGCAGAGCGTTATAAATGACGTTCGTCAAAGGCAGAAAATTCTCAATGGATGAATGAATGAATAAAACGTACCTCGATTATCGCCTTCAGAACCATGCCAGCACCTTTCACAATTGTTGTCGACGGATGCTGAAATTGTTGAGGAACGAATTCAAAACCACGATTGGTAAGAACCATTAGCGGGGCAATAGTAAAACATACATAAGCGAAGAAATGGTAAAATTGGTACTATTATTTAGTTTTGTCGTAAACCTACCTGGAACAATCGATAAATGCAATGACCCATTTCTAGACAAACAAATAACAGACTTCATGAGTTGCTCCTATGCATGGGTCAAGCTAGTGGACGTGGTAAACTTCACCAAAAAGGTAAAGAGAGAAAGGCTATTTAATCAACTCTCAACCTCAGTAAAAGAGCCATAAACTACCAAGAAGACAAGTTGAATGAAAAGCTCCTCAAATTTCTTTGTAGCATACCTGCAACTTTCTCCAGTAATTTCCCAAACTGTTCATCATCTGTTGTCTCACTAAGAGGAATATGCAATAGTCGATTTATTGTAACAGACTACATGAGTTGATTCAAAATATTGGAAGCAATCACACCTTACTATTAGTTTAACATGAATGTCCAACTTCACCCCCGTATTATTTTAATATATTGCAAAGCAACTAGAACAAACCTGTAAGGAGGACACAGAGCAAACGTCAGAAAATCAAGCAATCCACTTATAACTAAAACCCCAGTAGAACGAATATAGAAGAAAAGTTTTCATGGTTAATCTATTTCTTGTGTTTAGTTAGAAAGGTAGTTCAAATTAGAAAGGCAGTTGCTACGAATCACTTGCTGGGTTTTGCAAGGGAATTTCTCTTCCAAAACAAAGCTATATACATACAAGAGGGATGGAAAAATAAAATGCAAGGGTTCAGCATAGATTATAGGCAACCAACACCGCACATCTTACCACATTTATCGTGAGAATTTCCAACAAACTGCTTAGAAATTTTTCAGAGGATAACAAAGAGCTTTTGTTTATCTGTTCTTGTCGAATGTCATAGTTATCGTGCGTTGGCTATATAAAAAACAGAATTGGTTTCGATAAAATTGGATCCTGTTAACATTCAGATTTCAAAGTTGGCTGAGTTTATGTGGATTGCAAGTTAAAGGGGTAACACTAATGACAGTGACAGATTTGGCAACATATTACCAGGAAATTCATCGTTAAAGTGTTGGCGCTTTCCTTTATACGGAAAAAACGGCCAGACCGGTCCTATTGTTGATCTCGGTACAGACAGATTACTGGTATTTTAGAGTGTTTCAAGAACTCTGCGTTCAAGTATATCGTTACTTGCATCTGTCTAGCTCGGAAATTTCGCAACTATATTCTTAACGAAATACTCTATTTTAAATTTAAATATGACCGGTCTGACCATTTTGGCCGCTTAAAGGAAAGCCCTCTCTTTACCTGCATCAGAGCACACAGCATGTCGACAGCGGCGTGAGTCACGGCTTCATTATTCCTCTTCAAAGCTTTCACAGTTTTCACACCAACCTTCTCATAGAAGCTGTAAAAACAAAACAGAAACACGGTCTAGAGAAAGTGAGCTGGTTGAGTAAACAGCGTGTGTTATGGTTAAAGATAAACGTTTCTCACCTACTGAGCGTTGTGAAACCTGCTTTGGATCCAACCTAATGTCTCAAAGCGTGAAACAGTGCTTCGAGATCTTTATCTGATATTTTGTTTTGGTCTCCTGCAAATAGACGAGACATTTTAACTATTTTATGTATATATTGAACACCTGTGAAGGTAATAGCAGTCAGAATATGTATATTTTAGGGTTGAACACTAAATATATTGGCAAAGATATACCTTCGTGAGCAATGAGCATTGTGATTGCATTAATGATAAGTCTTTCTTTATTCTCCGGGAAAAGTCCTTACAAAATATTTAAAATCGTTTGAAATATATATTGGAGTTTAAAAGACTTAATATTCCAGCCGTACTTCTGGCGAGAAAATTTCAAATCTACCATTTCATGGATTCGGACCCAGTCAACTCAGCAACCAGAGTTACCGCAGCGTAGTCCCTAGGCCTCTTAACGTTCCTTATACGCGGCGAGGCGGGAACTGAGAGGCCTAGAACAAAATGTTTTGTATTTTGGCTAAAGTGGGGACTTTTTGTCCCCACTTTCTGTATTGAGGTCAGTTTACGATCCACGACGCGGTTAACTGGCCTTGTTCGACGTCGCTAGTCAAATATTTGCTTGAAATAACCTACGGGATATTAATTATACTGTCAGGACTTCGAAATATTCATACAAACGTTTCAATGTCATTTGCTGTCGACGCTATCGACTATCAAGTAAACTCGAGTCCATACGTACATGGTTATGATTATAATAAGCTTCAATCTGCCAATTTAAATTATTCTCCCTTCCTTTATAACGATTATTGTTGTAAATCTAGGTCAACTAATGCATACTAAAATATGCAGAAAACTAACGTGCGTATGAAAAACACGTGAGTGGAAAACAGCCTTAATCCAGATTTTGACAGAACATTAAAACTCAGTAAAAATGCAATAATATTCTCTACACAGGATTTTGTCTGCAGAAAAGTACAAAATAAGAAATTGTCAACTTACGTCATGGGTGACTGCATGAAGTAGACCGCTGTAGGAAATATTGCAGTTAAATCTCTACACATCTTCGAGAGAATATTAGAGAAAAACCCGAAGGCGTTGCATGTTCATTACTCCAGTCATCGTTTAAACCTTATTGTTGCCAAAGCGTGTTCAATTCTTCCAGTGAAAAATATGTTGAGTCAGGCACAAAATATCGCCAGCTTTTTTATCAGATTCCCTATCCGCTCACAGTATCTAAGTAAAAAGATGAAAGAGTTTGGTTTAACCCGTAACAAGCTCGCAAAGCCTTCCACGACACGATGGGTAGAACGAATAAGATCCCGCGATGGTTGTTTGGATGCATTCAAAGTTATCTACGAAACACTCAATTTTATGCAGTTTGGAGGATCGCAGGAAGGGCCATTTCCTAGATTAGCTAGTGACGCACAGTCTCATTTTCGCAACGTGGAGAAATTTGAATTTATGGCTGCTCTCATTATCACCCAACATGTTCTGGATCATACTTTGTCATTGACGGTCCAATTAAAGAAGAAAAAAAAATCGATATTGCGGAATCAATAAAACAGATTAATCTTTTAAAGGATGAAATGGCAAAACTACGTGCCTCTGTAGATTTATTCCACAATGAATACTACGACAAGCTGTTGGAATTAGCTAATAACCTCGACGTGGCTGAGTGTTTTCCCCGGGTATGTAAAGCTCAAACAAAATGTGATAATCATCGTACCAGTACAGCAGGTGGTTACAACAGATTAACAGTAACCATTAAGAGTCGTGCATAGGTCACGTGATAACGAAACATTCTGAGCTCATCAATGAACAATTGTAAAGGTTTTATTGTAACTCATAGGAAAACCTAAGGATATATTTGTAAAATCTATTATATTACGAGTGTCTTTCCCTAAGTCTACCGACCCCTGAATTCCCCACGCTATCGTCACCCTGTAATAAATAAGTAACGTTGCAAGTCCTCACCTTCAACCACAAGGATTAAATTACGTAATTCGAAGTGCAAAATTGAGATTACCGGTTTCTGAGTTTACCGGTTTATAATGCTCAGTATTTAATAATCCGTAAGACCAATTTATCATTATTATTACTTGACTTACGGATTCATTAAGTTTATCCTCGTCTTAACTCAAAAAGTTTTCAAAGGACTTGCATCCAGAAGGGATTTACCAGGAACAGGCTAAAATTAAACAGATGTTGAGATTATTGCACGATGATGATTCGTGATCTTAAAATTGCTACCTTTTGAAACTCTTCACGAGTTAATAAGCCTTGACTGTTCCCTGTGAAAGAAAAATTGGTAAATATAGTCATATTAAAATATATATTTCCTCCATATTGCAAAGGTAATTTCGCTTGCCTTCAGTTTCTTCCTTGTGTAAAACAGTGTCTTTGGAACCTGGTACGACATCAATCTGAAACGATTGTAAAATGAAAAAGCTAGTCTAAATCAAAGATCTCTTTCTTTTCTGCTTCCCCTGCCAGTCATGTTAGTAGCAATGTAAGGGATGGATAGTGAATGTTCCTTGCACGAAATAAATTTCATGCAAAGCGAGTTTGAAGAGAATTCTTACCATAAAAGCGCTTGGTTCATATCTCGGCCTACGACTCAATATCGAGTTCGTTGAACAAATGCCGAACCAAGATTCAACTTTTGACCGGAATCTTGTAATAAAATCGACGAGGGTGAAGATCTGCCGTGTTCTGTAAGCAGCATCTTTTGTTCTGCGCTGTCTAAAATGCAGGCAGATAATTTGTTCATTTCGTAAATGCGCGAACAATGGCCGATCTGTTTTAACATTACAAACCTGACTCCTTGAGTTCGGTTTTCTTCATTTCAACATCATCCCGGGTATCTTCAATATTAGTTTCCTCATCTTCTCTACACGATGCGAGGCGATCTTTGACAAGATCTACAATCAATGTACGCTGTCTGTGCTCTTGCTAAGAAGTTCTGTTGTAGTTTCAAGGCGTTGTCTGGCTCCTTCTTTAATGAGTTCGGCCGATAAATCATCTGAAATACAACAATATCAATTTGACATTCCGCCAACAGAATGCCCAACCGAAACATTGAACAGGTTTGACCCATCGTTGACAAGTTGTGGGCGAAAACATTCAGAGCACAATTTGACTGAGAAAATAAATGGGCTTACCAAAGAGTTGTTTTGGAATTAAACTTTCATAAATCTCAGTCTTTCCCACCGCTGGTCGTCACAAGATGTTTGAGTCACAAGATTTCTGTACTGAGCATACGGTACCAGTGGCCTTTAAATCGCGGGTAAGAAGGTCAGATGCTTTGGTATCGAATTTTGTGTTTGGCACCTGGCTAGAATCATCTGCACGAGTTTTGCTATCAGTTGAAGAAGCCTGGAAATGACAAATACGTTCCTAAGAGCTTTCACTAGAAGAATATTAAAACTTGGTCGCTCTTGCAAATATTCTATTGAAAATTCAGCAAGCAATCCCCGTGGCAATAGAATGACATGTGGACTTACTTTCGTAATAAATGGCACGAATTGTTTTCTTAACAATAGCGGACAGTTGACAAACCAGGATGGAATGACATTATCAGCAAGAGCTACAGTGTATTGAGAGTATCTAAGGTGAAACATATCAGTTCGTTTATATTTTAATCATTTTGACAAAACCAATAATAAAAAGTTTCAGATGTTATCGCGTTGAGCCAACTTCGATGATTCTGTGTAAGGCAAACATATTCCAAAGACTTGTTTCAACTGGATCGCTGTGAAGTTTTTGTACAAAGCACAAAGCTGTTACAATGCGATTTAAACGATTTAAAAGAATGCTACCAACTTTTCGCCGAATACGATTGTGTGTTTACACAACCTAGCTCTCTTTAGGGGGTACATTGATATTTTGTAACAGATTTCATAATTTACGTAACTTCAAGAAACATACCAGAGGGAAATTCTAGCAGTGGTATGGCAACTTGAGTCGTTGGCGAAAGTTTAGTAAACTTTTCCAGATATTGTGGGAGCAGTCTAAGGACAGAAATTTAGTAATTATTACTTAAAAAATCATATATTTGTGAAGGGGTATCTCGCATCACAAGAGACGTTACGTTTAGGCTGGAGTTTATTGAAAAACGTTTCTGTAAATTCACTGAGCACATTATCAAGGCACGATTTCAAATATCTCCAAAGAATAAACTTCTAAAACGCTGCAACTACTTAAATCAACTTCATTCTTACAAAGTGCTAATGGACATAAAAAACGTCTCAAATTCCAGACTATTTTAAGTAGCCATACCTTGCCATAACTGAAGGCATTTCTAACATACATATGGTGAGACAAGATACGCTTAACGTCGCGAAATGAGCAACCAAGTACGCATTAGACAACACTAGACGAAATATACAACAACGTTTAAGCAAGAACAGACAACCGCTGAAAATAAAGTCCCGCAGATTCTTACCTTTCATCTTGACCAATAAAAAGTGGTACGTACACAGCTCCGTTATTACCTGCACGTGTTACAATAAAATATCCAATTAAATCATTAGTATGGTATGATATAATTATGGTATAAATTGGTTATGGTATGGTGTGATATAATTATGGTATGATATGCATGGTTATGGTATGGTATGATTTCGTTATGGTATGGTATGGTGTGATATTATTATGGTAAGATATGGTTATCGTATGGTATGATTTAGTTATGGTTAGTTATGGTATGATATGATTATATGATATGATTATATGATATGATTATATGATATGATATGGTATGGTATTATGGTATGGTATGGTTTTGGTATATTTATGGTAAGATATTATGATATATGCAAAAACTGATTGATAAGAACCGTACTGGAAAAATTCTAGCGTACAAATGAGGTCGGCGCATATCATGAGGAACACGAAATAATCCAGGAAGAAAATCGTAATTTGAAACCTGAATGCAAAGTAAAATTTTTAGTTCATGATTTTGGTGTGAAAGTACACAACTTCACTTCCCTTCCCATTTTAGAGAAGACTGTAGATATTGAACGTAAATATTGCTTTCCAGAAAGTATCAAGTTTTTATCTTGCAGTGCCTCTGGAAAGTTCCTCAGAACAACATTCAACACCTCCCATTCCAATTCCTAGAAAATGAAGAAAGTTGAACTTCAATCTTAATGCCAGATGATATATTATGATAGAAAAGTTTACCTGTTGTAAGCACACAAGAATAACATTCATCGCCTCGCTGTAAGGCAGTGAAACAATCCCGTTTGTCTTATCTTCTGCAGAACTAACAAAAATGAGAATGTATTACGCAAACAAGAAAAGGATTTTGGAAGCAGAATACCTGACATACGTGGCACTATCGTCATTAACCAACCTTTTCTTTCAGAACAAACAAAATACGAAGTGAATTAAACTTTTCTACTTTTGTCTTGCACAAGGCCTAGACGTTGTCAGCTCGCAGACTGAGAAACATTGAAGAATCTTTAAGAAAACACAATGTGAGACATCATAAAAAAATCGCGAGAAATAAAATTGAATTTGCCTTACCGAAAGCCGTATTTCCGATGCACTATACGTCCGATAGCCATTGTCATAATGAGTTTTTATGTGGTACACTAATATATTGAATATTCGTTCGGCTCGTTTTGAGGTTTACGAAACAATTTCATCTGCAAAAATAGAATGAAATTACTGAAAGAGAAGCAAGTGTGGCATTAAATTACACTTATTTTTGTTCACGAAAATAACTTCATCACAATGAACGAATATGTGTGGACAATCTCTGCATGTCCTTCATTACCTTGAACAAGCGTACTAATCCTAATACAGCCTCTTTGATGTCTTTCTATGCTGTTTCATCCTGAGGCTGCAGCAACAAAGACAAATTACAGTGATTAGATGTAATTTTATGTCTCTAGATGTTCCTACATATACCTTGCAGTCTCTATAATTACCTTACATGTTCTTTACATGACGGCTTAACGTATCGCTTGAGAGGATCAACTGGACAGTGGCAATCTGGAATTGATAAATGAAATATGTATCCTTTTACTTCACTGATGCGTTTGCATTCACGACCCCCGTGTAAAACGATCCAATTTGCGGATATATAGTTAGGTTCAGGTCAGGAAGCTTTCACTGATAAGAAAGAGTTTTCTATTGAAGTACAGTATCAGCTCATCACGAATGAAGAGTGAAATGAAACCGTCTGAAAATGATTGTATTGAGTACCTTCTCGATTATATGCAAAA